AAAGCTAGAGGCAGCATCTCAAGAGATCCCTGCATGCTTTCTTCAGCTGCTCCCTATCCTCTCCTTTTAAAAGAGAAATAAAGAGAAAGGTATAGCACCTTGAATGAACAAAGATACACCTTAGACTGGACTGAAATTGATTAAGAAAAAAAAAGGGAAACCTCCACCCTCAGCTCTCTGCCCTGGATGATGCTATAATGATAAGCCAATAAGCAATTCTGGAGTTGTTTTTTTTTTTTATTTTTACTTTTAGTTTTAGTTTTTTAAAGAAGGGGTTTCACCATGACGGCCAGGCTGATCTTGAACTCCTGACCTCAGATGATCCACCCATCTCAGCCTCCCAAAGTGCTAGGATTACAGGCATGAGCCACCACGTCCGGCCTTCTTTTTTTTTTTTTTTTTTTTTTTTTTTTTTTTTTTGAGATGGAGTTTCGCTCTTGTTACCCAGGCTGGAGTATAATGGCACATTCTTGGCTCACCGCAACCTCCGTCTCCTGGGTTCAAACGATTCTCCTGTCTCAGCCTCCCAAGTAGCTGGGATTACAGGCATGTGCCATCATGCCTGGCTAAATTTTTTTGTATTTAGTAGAGATGGGGTTTCACTATGTTGGCCAGGATGGGCTCAATCTCTTGACCTCATGATCCACCCGCCTCAGCCTCCCGGGATTACAGGCGTTAGCCACCACACCAGGCCCCCCCCCCTCTTTTTTTTTTTAAAACTGAGTCTTGCTCTGTCATCCAGACTGGAGTGCAGTGGCACAATCTCAGCTCGCTGCAACCTCTGCCTCCCAGATTCAGGCAAATCTCCTGCCTCAGCCTCCCGAGTAACTGGGATTACAGGGGCATGCTACCACATCTGGCTAATTTTTGTATTTTTAGTAGAGACGGGGTTTCACCGTGTTGGTTAGGCTGGTCTTGAACTCCTGACATCAAGATCCGACTGCCTTTGCCTCCCAAAGTATTGATTTTCAGGCATGAGTCACCACACCCAACTGCAGTTCTGGAATTCTTATTACTGTGTGTCAGGATCTACACCAATATGTCACCTGCATAAACTTCTTTAATCTTTACAACGTCAACAGGGATTTAAATAACTTGTCCTTATTCACCCACAGGTGGTAAGGTAGTATGACAGAATCAGATTTGCCTTGTACACATCTCAGCTCAGCCTAAGGCAAGTTTGTCCAACCCCTGCCCCTCAGGCCACATGTGGCCCAGGACAGCTTTGAATGTGGATCAACACAAATTCGTAAGCTTTCTTAAAACTTTCATAAACTTTCTTAAAACACAAATTCATAAACTTTCTTAAAACTTTCATAAACTTTTTTAAAACACAAATTCGTAAGCTTTCTTAAAACATTATGAAATTTTTGTGTGTTTTTTTTTTTTTTAGCTCATCAGCTGTTGCTATCGTTAGTGTTAGTGCATTTTATGTAGCCCAAGACGATTCTTTTTTTTTTTCCAGGAAAGCCAAAAGACTGGACACCCCTGCTAAAGGTTTGCCATCCGGTTTCCCAATCTTTCCCTGCTGTCCTGTTCTCCACACCCCAGGCACTGCTACGCTTTTAGGAAGGTAGTAATGAGTTAGCAAGCAAAACACTTTCTGCTGTGTTTTTCTTGTCAGTTATATAATCTCACTGCTCAAGACAAGCCCAATTGTCCTTAGTTACGTTTTGAAGAACCAGTATTGTCAATAACTTCTCAACTCCTCGGTTAGACAAGAGAAGGAAGTCAGGTTTCATGTATGGCTAATCATACTATCATTTTGAGTCTAGTGTTTCCTCTATGCATATATACTGCTGACTCTAATTGGGTGCCATCCCAGTCTTCTAATTTGGAAGTTGCAAGTCAATGGTCAGTTGGCTTAGTTGGACAGTATTTTATTTAAAAAAAAAAAAAAAGTAGAGATGCTGAAAACCAAGTACTATTGCTAATATTTATCTGTTGGAGTCAAACATATCTGAATGAGAATTTTGTTTTTCGCGTATGTAAACTACCCCATTTTGGGCAATTTACTTAACTTCTCTGAGCCTCGGTGTCCTCATCTATAAAATGAAGATAATAGTACTTACTCAAAAGCTTCTATGAGGATTAAAATGTAAACTTTAAAGAGATGAGGAACCATGATATTGTGAAAACCCATGTGCATTTCAACCTAGTCTTTGGGGCATCAAGACATTGTGTAAGTCATCCAGTGTCTGTTTTGAGTGCATGTTCTTTGCCTGTATATGCAAATAATAATTCTATGTTAGCACTGTGTTAAGAAATAATTCAGATAATCTAAGTCAAATACCTAGAACAGTAGTTAGCACAAAATACTTGCTCAGTTAGTGTACTCTCCTCTGGTTAAATGCATTCATATTTAATTACCTATTTTTTATATTCACATATAAACTAGATGACTCTGCCAAATCAGTAAGCAAGAGAATATTAATTGGGTTGATAAACATGAACATCACTAGGAAATTTGGTAGTTGTGATATCTTTGTGAACCAATTAGTTTTTGGGGTTTATTTTGTGGATTTTTTTTTTCTGAGATGGAGTCTTGCTCTGCTACCCAAGCTGGAGTGCAGTGGCCTGATCTTGGGTTACTACAACCTCCGCCTCCCAGGTTCAAGCAATTCACCTGCTCCAGCCTCTCAAGTAGGTGGGATTACAGGTGTGCACCGCCATGCCCAGCTAATATTTGTATTTTTAGTACAGACAGGATTTCACCATGTTGGCCTGGCTGGTCTTGACTCCTGACCTCAGGTGATCCACCTGCCTCGGCCTCCCAAAGTACTGGGATTACAGGCGTGAGCCACTGCGCCTGGCCCCAATTAGTTTCTTTCAACTTTTATAAGAACGAGTTATGGACTCTAACCACAAAAGCACATAGGTCTGTCTTTGTCTATTTGTGCTGCTATAACAAACTACCAAGTCTAGGTGGTTTATAAACAACATAAATGTATTTCTCCCAGATCTGGAGCCTAAGAAGTACAAGATCAAAGTGTGTGCAGATTTGGTGTTTGGTGAGGTTCCACCTCTTGGTTTATAGATGGTGCCTTCTTGCTGTGACCTCACATGGCAGAAGGGGCAAGGGACTTTTCTAACATCTCTTTTATAGGGGCACTTTAATGGTTAATTTTAGGTGTCGACTTACTAGATTAAGAAACACCTGTTGAACAGGTAAAGTATGACTTCTTAGTGTGTCTATGACAGTGTTTCCAGAGGAGGTTGGCAGGTGAGTCTGAGGACTGAGAGGGGAAGATCCATCCTCAGAATGGACAGGTACTATGCAATCAGCTGGGGGCCCATATGGAATGAACAAGGAGAGCAAAGGATTTCTTCTCTCTTTTTCTTACTGCTGAGACTCTCCTTGTCCTGCCCTTGACTATCAGAACTTCAAGCCAAGTAACCTGGGCACTCCAGGACTTACAGCAGCAGGGCTCCTGCCTCCCAAAGTGTCAGACAGTTGGCCTAGGACTGAAAATTATGCCATCAGCTTCCCTGGTCTGAGGCTTTAAAACTTGGACCAAGCCATGCCACCAGTATCCCAGGGTTTCCAGCTTGGAGATGGCTTGTCATGGGACTTCTCAGTCCCATATGTAAGCCAGTTTCCCTAATAAATAACTTCTCATCTATATCTAAATATCTATATCTATGTATACCTTATCATCCTCAATAATAGAGAGGAAGATTCTCTAAAATAAAATGATAATTTCGGGGATGGGCATTGCAATGGAAATACTTGCACCATAGTAAACTTTGTGTGTATTCAGGGAGGAAAAAAAAGACAAATATTTTTTAAAGGAAAAATGAATAGTATTACATAATTATTCTGTGATAATTATCCTTGGCTACAAGGATCAATAATGAGAATGGTGCCAATCTGAGATTGGACAGGCAGTTGCTAGGAAGGTATCCTCACAAAAGTACTTTTTTATGTAAGGTTGCAGCAGACTTTGTGCAAGGTTGCATTCTTTGCAGAGGTGCTTGTGATTGTCTTTGTTATCAGGCATTTGTGAATGAGAACTCTCCCTTCATAGCCTTTTCTGGGTCTGTTGTTTGTTTTTTCAAAAACACACTGTGTTTTTGAAAAATGACTGTATTTTCATTCTGATAACTTTCCAAATGTATATCCTATTGGTTTTCTCTGAAATACCTTGCCTAATACAAATTTTTGTACCAAGAGTGGTTCTAGAGGAACAGAATTTTAAGGATGAATTTCCTTAATTGGGTTTGGAGTTTGGGGAATTAACTATTTAATCAAATTAGACCTAAAATGTCTAAGGAGTCTGCCTGTAACAGTAGAAAGGGCCTAATGAATAGTCCATGGCATGAACTGCTTATAGAAATACAAACAACATATGCATTTGATAATCCAAATCAACCATTTATAAGAGGCAAAAAACTTGATGGCTCTGTGTATGGTACTTTCGAACATTTTTGGAAAACATACTATAATGACCATCAGTTAGTTGCTTCTAGTGTTTCTGGACAAGGATCAATAACCAGGATGGTGCCAATCTAAGATTGAACAGACAGTTGCTGAGCAGATATCCTCACAGAAGGATTTTTCTTTTTTATGTAAGGTTGCAGCAGACTTTATTTCATCCTGATGAAAGAAAAGGATGAGGTCCGGGATGCAAATTCTTACATCCCACTCCAGTAGTAGCCTAAGAGCTTCTAAGTGTGCCCTGGGCCAGAATCTTCTGTTGTTTAGTCACAGAGCTGGAATTGTCAAATCAAACACATGCACTCATCATGTGATTGGCTGAATTACAATGAAAATTATACTCTTAGCCTTACAGGGTGTCTACTAAGGACATTGGCTGGGAAAGAATGGGATTCTCTAAATTGGGGTGGGGAAGTATGAGCAAATGCTGATGAAGCTGGGGACATTGAGCTTCTGAATTCTGATGAGCCTTGTTTGCCAGCAGAAGTGGCCTCCCTACACCTTCTCCAGTGGCAGAGGCATCACCACCCATAACATACAGATCTTTCCATCTCTGTTTCAGGGATTCACTCTTAATTACCTGAGGAAACAATGATAGCCTCCCCTGAGACAGTTGCCAGACAAGACACTGCTTATTCCCCTCAGGACTCACGTCCACCACCACTTTTTGCTTCTTGACCTCTAATTAGATACAAGTCTCAGCAGACCCTTAAAGGTGAGTAGTGGTAGAAGGAATATAAAGTTGAGTCTGGATGAATTTATTGATATGTGTCTACCAAGCAGAGATTTTGCACTTAATATTGCAATTCAGGGAGTTAAGAAAGGTGCTAACAGTTTGGTTGTCTAAAAATGGGTCCAAAGATGGCCCACATAGCTGAGCATGGTCACACATGCCTGTAGTCCCAGCTACTTGAGAGGCTGAGGTGGGAGGATCACTTGAGCTTGGGAGGGTGAATCTGCAGTGAGCCATAATTGCACCACTGCACTCCAGCCTGGGTGACAAAGTGAGACACTGTTTCAAATAATTTTTTTTTTTTAAAGAAGATGACCCACCATGAGCAAGCTGGAGATTCTAGATCTCCCTTGGTTTATTATAGAAGATGGGATTTCAAAGTCTTAGGGAGATTGGAATGCTGGAGTGTATTTGTCACTTAAACCTACTCACCCACACTGGAAGAATCCAGAAGACACACCTTTCATGAACACATTGAGAAATAGATTCATTGGGGGAGACCCAGCATCCCTGAAGAGCTCCGTGATTACTCTTAATCTTTAGTCTGGACCTTACAGTGGGAACCTTAATCACTCAATTAAAAAGCTTAAATGTCATGGAAATAACTGTATTCTGAGATGACAAGGGCCAAGTGTTGGCATTTAATCATCAGAGGCAGGGTGAGCACAGTTGCCATAATCCATAGTAGAGACAAAGCAACAATTAGAATAGACTGACTCATGGAGTTCTATGGTGTTGGCTAGTTAACCATGGTGTTCTAGAAGTGAACTAGATAGGAAACCTACTAATAACTCATTTGATCTCTATAAGCAGAAAGTTTTCAAGTAAAAGTCTTATTTGAATTAGAAAAACAGAGAACCATGGCCCCTCAATCAGTTCCCAGTTTCCCAGTCTTAAGCCAGTTTACAGAAGCAGATCCCCTTTAATGAAAAGGAGGCTGGGTCTCCTCCAGGAAAAACCCTGGTACATTACCAAAAATGTATACTCTTAATCTTTTTGCCATGTTTCCCCAAAGAAACTTATAGCCTTTTACCCGAGTAACTATGCATTGAGGCAAGAGAAATGATCAGAACTCTTGGGAACTAATGGACACTGGCTCTGAACTGGCACTGATTCCAAGAAACCCAAAATATTACTGTTGCCCTCTAGTTAGAGTAGGGGCTCATGTAGCCCAGATAATCAGTTGAGTTTTTGCTCAGGTCCAACTTTCAGTGAGTCCAGTGGATCCCTAAACCCTTTCTGTGGTCATTTCCCAGTTCCAGATGCATAACTGGAACAGACATTCTCAGCAGCTGGCAGAATCCCCACAGTGGTTCCCTGACCCATGAAGTGAGGGCTGTGATGGTGAAAAAAGGCAAATGGAAGCCATTAGAGCTGCCTGTACCTACAAACATAGTAAATCAATTAACTCATCCCCAGAGATATTTCAGAGATTAGTGCCATCATCAAGGACTTGAAAAATGTAGAAGTAGTGATTTTCACCATATCCCCATTCAACTCTCCTATTTGGCCTGTGCAGAAGACAGATGGAGCCTCAATAATGACAGTGTATTATCGTAAGCTTAACCAACTGATGACTCCAAGTGCAGCCGCTGTACCAGATGTGATTTTATTGCTTGAGCAAATTCACACATCTCCTGACACCAACTGTTGTGGTAAATTCCTTTTCGTTCATACCTGTCCTTAAGTTCCACCAAAAGCAGTTTGCTTTCAGTGGGCAAGGCCAGCAGTACACCCTTACTGTCTACTTCAGTAGTGTATGAAACTCTCCAACTCTAATCCACAATTTAGCTTACAGGGATCTTACTTGTCTTCTTCTTCCACAAGATATCACAGTAATCCATTACATTGGTGGTAATTGAAACGAGTGAGCATGAAGTAGAAACTACTCTGGACTTATTGTTAAGATGTTTGCATGTCAGAGAGTGGGAAATAAATTCAGCTAAAATTTAGGAGCTTTCTACCCCAGTGAAATTTCCAGCGATCCAATGGTGTGGGACATGTGAATCAGATATCCTTTCTAAAGTAAAAGATATGTTTCTGCACCTGCCTCTCCTACCAAGAAAGAAGCACAATCCCTGGTGGGCCTATTTGGAATTTGGAGGCAACACATTCCTCATTTGGGCACGTTATACTGATCCATCTATTGAGTGACTTGAAAGGCAGCTAGTTTTGAGTGGACCCAGACCAGAAGACTCTGTAACTGTTCCAGGCTGCTCTGCCACTTGGACCACAGGATCCAACAGATCCAATGGCACTTAGGCTGACAGTGACACATAGGAATACTGTTTGAAGGCTTTTGCAGGCTCCTATAGGTAAATTGGAGGCAAGGCCTGCCACCATCTGCAGTTAATTATTCTCCTTTTGGGAGAACTTTTGCCCTCCTACCAGACCTCAGTAGAAACTGAATGCATGCCCATGGGCCATAGAGTTACCATACAATCTGAGCTGCCTATCTTTTTTTGGGGGGCGGGGGATACTGAGTCTCATGTCTCACTCTGTCATCCAGGCTTCTGTGCAATGGAGCAATCTTGGCTCACTACAACCTCTGCCTCTGGGGCTCAAGCGATTCTTGTGCCTCAGCCTCCTGAGCAGCTGGGACTATAGGTGCACACCACCACACCCAACTAATTTTTTATCTTTCAGTAGAGATGGGGTTTCACCGTGTTGCCCAGGGTAGCCTTGAACTGTGAGCTGCCTATCATTAAACTTAGTGTTGTCTGATCCACTTGGGTATGCATTGCAACACTATGTCATCAAATGGAAGTGGTCTATATGTGATCAGGCATGAGCAGGCCCTGAAGGCACAAATAAGCTACATGAATAAGTGGCATAAGTGCCCATGGTTTCTACTTCTGCTACCCTATCATCTCTCTCCCAGCTTGCATGAGTTGATAGAGGCAGAGAAATCTAGGGCCTGGCTTACAGACGGTTCTTCATGATATTCAGGCACCACCCAAAAATGGACAGTTGCAGAACTTTACCCCCTTTCTGGGACATCCCTGAAGGATGGTGGTGAAGGATAATCTTCTCAATGCATAGAGACTTTGAGCACTGCACCCAGTTGTGCTTGGAGGGAGAAATGGGCAGATATGCAATTATATGTTAATTCATAAGCTGTATTCAATGATTTGGTCAGATGATCGGGGACTTGAAAGGCATATGATTGGAAAATTTCTGACAAAGAAATATGAGGAAGAGATGTCTGGTTAGAACTTTCTAAGTGGGAAAAAATATGTGAAAATATCTATGTCCCTTGTGACTGCTCACCAAAGGGTGACCTCAGTAGAAGAGGACTTTACCAATGAAGTGGAAAGAATGACCCATTATCTGGATATCAGTTAGCCTGTCTCCCCAGCCACCTCATCATTGTCCAATGTCCTCATGAACAAAGTGGCCATGGTGGCAAGAATGAAGGTTCACTATGGGCTCAGCAATGTGAACCTCAGCTCACAAGGCTGACCTGGCTATGGCCACTGCTGGGTGCTCAACCTACCGGCAGCAGAGACCAACACTGAGGCCCTAATATGGCACCATTCTCTAGGGTACTTAGTGGCATGTTGATTACAATTAAACCACTTCCGTCATGGAAGAGGCAGTGTTTTGTTTTTATTGGGACATACAGTTACATGAATATAGATTTGCCTTGCATGCACAAAATGCTCTGACAAAACCACCATCTATGGAGTTACAGAATGCCCTATCTACCATCATGTTATTCCACACAGCAGTGCTTTTACCAAGGAACTCACTTCACAACCAAAGAAGTGCAGGAGCATTCTCATGCTCATGAAATTTGCTGATCTTGCTGAATTCCCCATCATCCTGAATCAACTGGCTTGATATAATGGAATCACCTTTTCAGTCAAAGTTACAGAGCCAGTTAGGTGACAGTACTTTGTAGGGCTTGGACAAGGTCTCCCAGAAGGCTGTGTATGCTCTGAATTAGTGTCTGTATATAGTTTTGTTCCCCTTGAATTCATGGGTCCAGGAATCAAGGGGTAGAAATTGGCGTGACACCAGTCACCATCACCCCTAGCAAAATTTTTGCTTCTTGTTCCTCTGACTTAATGGTCTGCTAGCCTGGAGGTCTTAGTTATGAGAGAGGAATGCTTCCATCAGGAAACACAACAATGTTTACATTGAACGGGAAGTTAAGACTGCCACCCAGTCACTTTGGTCTCCTCGTGTCTCTGAGTTAGCAGGCTAAGATGGGTGTTACAGGGTGGGCCAGAGTGATTGATTCAGACCACCAAGGGGAAATTGGACTATTACTCCACATGGAGGTAAAGAAAAGTATATCTCGTGGAATACAAGTGACCTCTTAGAGTGTCACTTAGTATTACCATGCCTTGTGATCAGGTCAATGGAAAATATAACAACCTAATCCCAGCGGGACTACGAATGTCCCAGACCCTTCAGGAATGAAAGTTTGAGCTATCCCAACAGTCATAATGATGACCAGCTGAGGTGTTCCTGAAGGCAGAGGGAATACAGTATGGGTAGAAGCAGCAGCTAGTTATTAATACAAGCTATGACCACCTAACCAGTTATAGAAACAGGACAGTAACTGTCTTGAGAATTTCCTCCCTATTTTTTAAAGAATGTTTTTGTGTATATATACATATATTAAGCCAATATCTTCATTTTCATTCCCCTCTTATTTGTTCATCATGTAGCATAAGATATATTGACTTTATGTCAGTATTATTAACTATCTACCACAGTATGTAATCTATGGGATATCAGAATGATATAGTTTGGATGTCTGTCCCCTCCAAATCTCATCTTAAACTGTAATCCCCAATGTTGGAAATGGCGCCTAGTGGGTGTTTGGATCATGGGGGTGGATCCCGCATTAAATGCTTGGTGCCATACTCATGGTAAATAGTAGTGATGAGTGGGTTCTTGCTCTATGAGTTCACCTAAGACCTGGTTGTTTGAAAGATCCTGGAATCTCCTCTCTTGCTTCCACTCTCCCA